GGCGCCGGGGCCGCGGCGGTGGCGCTCGCGCTGCGAGAACAGCATCTGATCAGGCTGCTGCATCGGCTGGGGCTCCTCTTTTGCGGGCTCCTCAGCTCCTGCGCCCCTTGGCAGTGGCAACTGCGGCAGCTGCGGCGGCAGCTGCGGCTGTGGTGGCTGCGGTGGCAGCTGCGGCTGCTGCACCTGCGCCTGCGGGGGCAGCGTCTGCGACAGCAGCGTCTGTGGGGGCTGCGCCTGCGGGAGCTGCACCGGCCGCAGCTGCACCTGCCGCAGCTGCACCTGCGGCAGCTGCGTCTGCGGCCGCTGCTGCGGCTGCTGCAGCTGCTGCGGCGGCACTTGCAGCTGTGGCTGCGGCAGTTGCAGCGGCTGCAGCTGCGGCTCCTGCCGTTGCGGCTGCTGCGGCTGCGGCTCCTGAGGTTGCCATTGGCGATACTGCGGCTGCAGCTGCGGCTGCTGCTGCACTAGCTGCTGCAGCTGTTGTTGGGCGGCGGCAAAGTTGCCGCCTACGCCGCGCGGAGCCTGGCCAGACGGGGCCTGCCGCCGCGGCTGGTGCATCTGCCGCAGCTGGTTGAGGCCGCCATGCTCGTATTCGTCGGCGGCGCCGCCGTCATGCCACATCTCGTCGCCGCCCGCCGGCTGCCAGTGCTCATGGATGCGCCGCAGGGCCGCCGTGCCGGTGGCCGCGGGGCGCTCTCGGCCGCGCTCTCCGCGCCGTGCCGCGTTGTGGTGCTGCTGCTGCTGCTGCTGCTGCTGCTGCTGCTGCTGCTGCTGCTGCTGCAGCTGCTGCTCCTGCTGCCGCTGCCAGTAGCGCAGCGCGTCGGTCCTGGCGCTTTGCTGCTGCTGAAGCTCGGCGTCCGCGCCGGCCTTGCCGCCCGGCAGCAGGCCCTTCGCAGCGGCCTGCTGCTCCTCGCGCGCCCGCTGGCGCCCGTGGCGCCTGCCCGGCCAGTCCTGGTCCCACTGCTGCACAAGATCCTCCTCACGGTCTTCAGCCGCCAGTTGGTGCGGCTGCAGGTCTTCCGTGGCCTGCGTGTCGCTCCAGCCGTCGCTGGAGAGATGATGCGTCGGCGCAAACGGCAGCTGCCGCGGCGGCGGAGACGGCGCCGCCATCCGCCACCCTGGGCGGTAGAGGCCCGCGGCGGCGGCTGAGGCGGCGCGCGACGCGGGGGCGGCGCGCGGCTGCTGCCATGGCTGCGCGGCGTCACCCATAGCGCGGGCTTTCGGCGCGCCGTGGGCGCCGGCGTGGCCCATACGGCGCTGCTGCTGCTGCTGCTGCTGCTGCTGCAGCCAGAGTAGTTGATCCTGGGCCTGCTGAGCGCGCGCGGCCTCGAGCGTCAAGTCGCAGGCCACTGCCTGGTCGCCGTCATGCAGCTGCCACGGCCCAGTCCATGCGTCGTCGCTCTCGACTCTCATGGCAGCGGGCGCGGCCCGGTTACGCGTCGTTGGGGGCCGGGTTCGTGTGACTCTGTGCATTGAGGGATTGGCGGTGCGTGGCAGCAGGGGGAGGGCCGCGGGGATCAGCCGCACGAAGGCGGGCACGGAAGGGCGGTGCTGGGCGCTCATCTTCGCCCCGTCGCCGCCCCTGGAGGGCACCCCTTCCCCACCCAAGCGCGCTCTGCAGGTGCCCAGACCCGTGCGATATACTCACAGGGACAACGCCTGCCGTGCAAAGGCCCGCCGCCCGCGCTCAAATTCACCCTGGCAGGTGATGTGCGGAGGGGTTGGCTGCGCAGTTTGCGCGTTATCCTGCAAGAATCACGTTTTAATCAAACGACTCGCACGTGGCCCGTGGAATGGCCGCGTTACGTTTTTTGGGAAGATTGCGAGAAAGTAATAAGCATGCGCAGTTCTTGACACCCATGACTACGGTGCCAGGCAATGCATTGCCCGACGTGTCGAGTGTTCGGTGTAACAGCTTATTCTTATGCACCCCTACCTGCGCGGTGGCTACAGCCTTCTGGACCGCGTGCATTTGGCGATCATCAGTGCAGATCAGATGGACAGCATCAGCACAACCAAGCTTGAGCAGTACGATTACCGTACCGCCATCAAGCGCGTGAACATCTTGATTGAGCGTCTGCAGGAGGCCAGCACGCATGCGACGGGCCCAGCTGATCCGCCGTCGCAGCTTGCTGCTGCGCTGCGCTTCTGGCGAAGCAACTGGCGCGGTGTGCTGGCGCTTGTCACGCTCTACTCGATCCCTACAGCCGCCGTTACAGCCCTTGTTTTCGCAGAGCGCCACAAGCGGGTGTGCAGGCGGGCCTGACTTGAGAGAGGGCCAGAGGCGCGCTGGGCAGCTGCTCTATCAGCCCTACTCTTTCTGCTTTTCAATGTGCAATGGCGAACTTGCCTCACCTGCCTTATCACTCCTCAATGCTTGCAGTCGGAGGAGCTGTGGCACAATGAACAGGAGAAATACATAAACTTGCAAACAGCCGGGTGAGAGGGCAACAGCTGCGTCCGACTGCTGAGAGCAATCGACCTACTTACTGCGTCATTCCTCGGCGGCGTGACGTCGAGATTCAAGAGCAGTGCGGGTGTGTTGATGTCAGTGCAATGGCGGCCGAGTGTCTCGTGTGGAGTTCTCAATGGGCATGGCGCACCCTTCCATTCCTTCAGCACATTGCCCCCTTGGTCCGAATGCCCCCAGTTTGCGCGGACAGATGGAGCGCGACAGGCAGCTGCTGCACAGCTTCAACCTTGAACTGCGGCAGCTGGAGGGAGCCTGGCGGCTGCAGCCGGCTAGGGCACGGCTGCTGCAGCTGCTGCGCTCGGGCGGCAACGGGGCTGGCTCGCAGGTGGGTTGGTGAGGGGCAGTGGGTGGGGGCGCCGAGAGATTGCAACCCGGGTTGCGGCGCACGTGATTGGGGGCTTGATGTTTTTGCATTCAAGGTGAAGGGATCCTGCTATCGAGCTGAAAAGTACGCCCTGCACGCGTGCCTCATCCCGCAGGGGGATGCGGGACTGCCAGCAGAGACAACTTCTGTGGGAGGCGTGTCCACGCGGCCGCCTGGCGACTCTGAGGAGGTGTTCGCTCTTCGTCCTGGACCCCAGGGCCTTGGACGCGGCTTCATCATCTGACCGAGCGAGGTAGGCCACTTGAAGTTGCGAGCTTCGATCGACCGCACGAGGCAACAATTCGGCTTTCGAACTAGGCTCGATGCTGTCTCGTTTCAGTTTGCATGCTTGCCAGTATCGAATATCGACAACAATCTTTTGCTCAGCCTGCTTGCTGCCCCGCGTGGACTGCTTTGACCCTCCCATATCGCCATGGCGGACGCGGGCGTCAGCCTGGGGAAGGTGCTTTGACGCTGCAACCTGAACGCACGGGGTCTTGCTGCTCCTGGGCGCGGCCTGCGACCATCGGCTCCGCATCATGCGGCGCCGCGCGCCGCCTCGGCGAGGCCGTCCAATCGCACCCTCGGCGCCAGCGGCGGCGGAAAAGCGGCCCTTGTGTCGGCGTCCGCCGTGCGTCGCAAGCCGCAACACACGCTTCGTCCGTCTCGCCTCATCTGTGTCCACGCAGGGCGCCTGGGACTGCGACAACAACTGCGAGATTCCGCCGGAGAAGGAGGTGAGGCGGTCGCAACGAACTGCGAGTCGGAAGGGCGGCGCAGCTTGAGCCCAGCAAGAGGGCGCACGCAGGAGAAAGCTCCAGAGCGTCTGCGGCGCCGCGCGCTGCGCGGGCGGCACTGACTCGTGCGCCCCCCTCGGCACCGAAGCTCCCCGCGGCCCCGTCCGTGCGCGCGTTCGCCCCACATAAAGCGCGGCACGCGCGTCCCCTTGACAGGCCGAGGTGTTTGAGGAGGTCCCTACTATGGAGCACAACTTCGAAGGCATCCCGACAGTCCCACCCCACAAAGACCTGGTGAGCCCCCCCCCCCTCAGCCATCTACACCACATGACGTCACAAAGCGCCAATCACGCTTCCCCAGCTGCCAGCCGCCTCACTAGGAACGCCTCTGCCCCGCCGCAGGCCCGCGGGGCGCGGGCAGGGGGAAGACGCCCTGTCGGACGCTTTCTCGAGGCCGGGAATGACCCGCCGGCGCGCGGCGCGCCGCTCCGGCCGCCCAGATCCGGCTGATCGGCTTGCAGCCCCTATTTGTGTGAGGCTCCGCTCTTCAGCCTCAGCACGCATCTAGGACGCCGACGCGACGCCCTTCAACGCGCTCTCGTGGCGCACCCGCCTCGTTGCCCCCCTTCTACCAAAGGACCACATGGCATTCTTCTGTGGCGGCTGCCGCTACCGCGTGACCGCGTACCCAGATTGGACGGTGGAGAAGGTGGGGGGCAAACACCGTATGCATGTCTGTGCGTGCGTGCCCCGCGTGCACGCACGCACAAGAATGTGTGTGTGTGTGTGTGTGTGCGTGTGTGTGTGTGTGTGTGTGCATGCGTGCGTGCGTGTGAGCGTGAGTGCATACGCATGTGGTCCCGCGCCCCCCCCCCTCAGAGTGTTTGAGCGGGCTTGAGACTGAGGGTATTTGCGGTGATGAGGTCACCCTCATCACCAACAGGCACAGCGGTCACTCGCAGTGCGGCCTGCCCGCCAACCACCGCGACGCACAAGCCGCCGCGCCCGCCCCACCGTGCGGCGCCGCGTGTCCGCTGGCGCCGGCGCAGCTCAGCCCCCCGCGCGCGCGGCGCCCTCGCTTCCAGGTCAAGCGCGCCCTGTTTGACGGCGGCATCGCGCGCTCCAACAAACCCGAGGGCCGCTCCGCCACCCCCGGCATCCGCAGCTGGCAGGACCTGGTGCGCTGAGCTGGCGGCTGCCGCCACCGATGCGGGCTGCATGGGGAGGTCTCCGTGTCAACCCCACAATCATCACAGCAAATCTGCCCGCACGCTCTGCCTGCAGCGCTCCTCCCCCTCTGCGCGCCGCTCCTTCACTCTTCCACCTTCCTCACTCGCCCCAACGCCCCCGTGGCCTGGTATAACCTGTCCTGGTGACTGTCACCTGTTCTGGTGCAAACTGTCCTATTGTAACCCGTCCCGGTGTAACCCATCCTGGCGTAACCTCCAGGAGCTGCTGTACTGCATGGAGCGGATGGAAGACTCCAAGCCCCTCGCCCACTACCATGTCCCCCCGGTAGGACCCACGGCGCCCACCGCATGCCGGCCTTTCGCCCCGCCGCTGCTTCTGTTGGGCCGTGTCGAAGCGACCACGGCCAGGCCCGCGCCGCGCGCCTGGCCCCTCCCCGCGGCGTCCCCATTCGGGCGTGCGGTTGCGGCGAGGGGATATTCGTAAGAGGCAGCGCCTGCGGCGGCGTCCCTTGCACGCTTTTCCTCTAATGTTCTTCGCTCTAACGTATCCTCGCCCCGTCCTGCCGGGCCGCGCTGTCTCTCCCCGCCCAAATCGATGACGTCATCAGGGCTGCAAGGTCATGCTGGCTATTGAGAGGGCCAAGCTGGACAGTGGCCGCCCAGACCCAGACTCCCCCTACTGGAACTGACGCGCGACCGCCGCCCGCACAGCGCGCCGCGCCCAGCTGAGCTGCTAGCGGCGGCATGACGCACGCACGGCGCGCCCCACGCGGCCGAGCCGCTAGCGGCGGGGCAAGACGGGACTCTGCAGGACCCCAGTGGTGGCGCCCCCTGCCCAGACGCAGCCCAGAGGCCCTAGGCCGCACAGGCCCGCAGCTCGACGCTTTGGCTCGAGGGGGGTGGCCGGGCGGGGCGCGTCGCCGGTGGTGCCTAGGGGGTGCACCCGTCGCCGCTGACGCGTTGACTGGGGCGCGCGTGGGTGCGGCCGCGGCGGAGCGCGCGGGGCGCGCGTGTGAAAGGGAGGGGAACAGGGATGCGCCTGAGCGGATGGCAGGCAGGCGGCTGACTGATGCTGACCGGGATTCGCTGTGTCGGCCGGCTGCGCTTTGATGTTGAAGCTATCACAGATGGTAGCATGGAAGGTTCACGGCCATGTAAGGTTCACAGGGATGTGTAACAGTATGGCCCCCAACCAGAGCTTTGCCCTGTGAGCGGGCCCGTCAAAGGTGTGGCTTGGTTGGGCGCGCAGCTGCTGGTCCGACAGGCACTGCACCGGTTTTTCGCAACTGTAGACAACTCATCACCAGTCGTCGCGTTAGGTTCGTGCTTCGATTGAGATTTGGAAACATAATTTCGCTTGTATCAGTTTTTCACCTCTGACAGCTCCGCCACGACACCGCCAGCAACCATTCAGGTGCGATGCCTTGCTCGAACTGTCTCGCCCTTCCGTATATATATATATATCTTGACGCGCCTGAGAATTTATGTGGCGCATGTAACGGTGCCATGAAAGGCCCGTGCCGCCCGCACACCGCCCGCCGGCGCTGACAGCGCTGCCACGTGTGTCCCTCTCCCCCGCCCCCCAGCAAGCAGCAAGCATGGACACCATCCCCAACAGCAAGGCCGCCGGCGCCGCCGCCGCAGCCACGACAGCTGCCGCAGGCCACGACTTTGGCTTCACGCTTGAGAGGTGGATGCATGCACAGGCCTGTGGCAAGCGCCTTACTGCCGCTTGAGTGCCGCCATGCGGGGCCTGCTGTTACATGCGCGTGCCGCATCCCCGTCGCTCCTGCGCGGCGCCAGTTTGCCAGGTTGGGCGGCGGCACTGTGTTTTGACAGCCCTCTGCGGCTGAAGCAGCTGCTGCATGCATACAAGGGGACACATCATGCAAGTGGCAAGGAAAGACTGTCCAACACCCATCCACCCTCGATTCAAACCACATACTTGCACACTCCTCTCCCACATGTTCACATACACACATACCCACACGCACGCACCCACACATTTGTGCATACACCCTGCGTCTCCGCCGCTGCCCGCCTTCCCAACTTCCGCAGGGTGCTGTCTCACGATCTGCCCCAGCCCAGGAGCCCCGTCCGCCCATCTTCCGGCAGCCCCCGCCAGGACGCCGCCGGCACGTACGGGCGCTGCGCCGCATCACCTGCACCCTCGTCGGCGGCTGCCAGCGACGACGGCGGCAGCGACGCGGGGGAGCCGCCACTGCCTATGCCTGAGCCTTTTAAAATCAAGAGTGAGCCATTCTTGAGCAATACCAATACGGGCCATACCCACAAGCACGGTTTGGTTCGTGCAGCGGCGCCGCATCGCACGCGGCTGCGGCGTCGGCGATGGAAACTCGCGGCGATGGATATTCAGCCGTGCATATCGCCGCTGTCCTGGCAACAGTTGTCGGGCGGCCTGCGAGCAAGCGTGCGGCGCTTGCCCCCCTCAGCCGCCTCGCTGCTTACATCCG